ATAAAATATCCAATGTATATTTTATCAAATAGCACAATAAAATGTATTGATGATTACGCGATTTAATTCGTTTCTATATTTTTATTAAACGTACATCTTTACGTCGATTTGTGGTGTATAACAGCTTTAAAGTGCACTGAGTGCGCACCAACTCTGCCAGTGAAAAACGATATTAATTTATTTATACATAACGTCAGATTTTTTCATCGTTCACCGCTTTTAAATTTTTTCTTTAATTAAAGAAGAGAGAGAGAGAGAGATTACATTGAAAAAAAATTTAATAAATATTTGAATACTCTAAGTAAATATTTACTTGAACTCTAAGTAAATATTTACTAAATGTAAACAATATTTATTTGAAACAAAGACCATTAATTTGATTTAACTATTATTTTTTTTATTGAATAAATATAGATTTACTGTGGGTAATGTTTACTTAGTACTATTCAAAGAATATACATGTGTTAAGATTTAGTCATTTTTTTTTCACTATATGGCGTACAAAAAAACTTAAACAGTGAAACATAAAAGTAAGTAAATAAATATTATGAACTTGCTATTGCTTACACCTTACGTTTTTTTTTTTTGGGGTGCCTTTATTTGTCCGAAGATACGGAAGAATCTGGCGCGAGAAAGGAAATTCTACGCGCGCGGCGTCGCGTTGTCGCTTTAAATTTAGATCGCGAGGGAACCGGATGATATCCATACGACGCTCCAACGTCTTTTAAAAATTTCATTCTCCATACACATGCAGACCCCTGACGACGATGTTTAAACTTTCACAAATAACTATCAGCATAAAGTCAACTGCAGGCTCGTTTATTCTTGCATGCGGGATTCAGCGAAGTCGCTCGCGCGATAAATAATATTGTTGTAGTATTATTATATTTGGATGTGAACTTTCCTCTTCATATTTCTCACCGCCTCTCAATCTTTAAGGTGAACGGCGTTCCTCTTCCCGTTCACGACGAGCGGAATTCGTATCGCGTCTCTAGGCATCGTCGGCGATACGCTCGCGTGGGACAGCATCGATTAATCCATTTAAGGTCACTGACTCGAAAGACCTATGTAAGCGGCTTTCGAGAAAAGAAATAAAGTGCGACGATTTTATCAATGAACTCAACGACGGTATTATATGAATGAATTTAATGTAGTACTTTCTATTAATATTGACGCCTTTTTACTACAGGAGAAATATCGTGGTGGAGATCTTGCGTCATGGAATTTGCAGTAAACTGATGAACAATGAGTTGCAAACAAATCGAAGGTACACGTGTTAGGTCGGTGTTCAATGAGCCGCGACGCCGAATACGCGGTACTCCGCACCGCGTCGTTTCTCAGGATTACGAAGCTATCGATTTCCACGTTCCTTATACACTTCCGTTCGACTCCCTGGCATCTATATCGGCCTGGTCTTACTATTCTCGCATTCATCGCACGCGTGTCTCGCGGCGACGGTACGTTGCACCTGCAGCGACGCATTTGCGCCCTGCATACCACGCAGTAAGACTCGAGACAAGGTCTCGAGCACGCGGCGAAATCTGTCGCGCGTGAATAAAGGAATGATTATATGCGGATGCGAGTCAAAGGATATGTGTCGTCGAATATGTCAGAGTGTGACAAATATGCGTCGAACGGTTACACTGAAGAAATGAACTGCGTTCAATAGAAACAGCTTTGCGATTGTAAATTGTAAAATTCCTTAATATGGTTAGTTTATACATTTAAATCCATACACACATTTAAAAAAATGTTTGATTGAAAAGGGACAAACCAGAAAATTCTGATTATATATGTACATCAACCAGAATTCCGGTTATCTCAACTAGAATTTGAGCAGATTTTACCGGAAAACTTTCTGGTTTGTCCATTTTCAAACATTTTTTTCAGTGCATACACATACAATGAGGAACTATAAGACTAATTATATTAATGCATAAATTTTAAGCAGAATCGTAAGGCTCGTAATATATTCCTGTAAGATTTGTAAGAATTTTTAAGTACGTAATACCTTTATACAATATTTTTGCAGACAGCTTCTTACTAGCCATAAAATTTACAAGAAATCGTAGATATTTACGAGTAATCGTACGTCTTACGATACATTCGCATAAAATTAGAATACTAGTCATAAGTTCTTATATATACAAGTTTTACGAGAACACATTACGAGTCTTACGATTCTGCTTAGAATTGACCCATTAATTAGTAATTACAGTTGCAAAGCTGCTTTTTGTGCTGAACGCAGCCAACGATTTTGCTGGAGTATCTAAATATTTAGTTAGGTAGGTCTGAGATAATGTTATTGGACCATCAAAATAGTTACGCAGAATCTTAAGCATGATGAGCAACGCTAAAAGTTTTGACGTTCTAGCAAGTAGGAATCAGTTTAAGTGTCCTACATAATTATTTTGATGGTTCAACAAAATTATTTTCAGATTTGTATCTTGCTAAATTTTTAGATACTTCAGCACAAAACTGTTTTCATGTACCTACGATAGATTTCCAATGATATTTGAATACTTGCATTCTTTATCCTTTTTTTCGAGCAACATAAATTTTTCACGTGCACATAGCGCGATCAGAGTACACCTATTATTATCAAACATATATTTTATCTAAATAGCGTATTCCTGGAATCCTCCGGAGGCACCAGAGACAGGAAAATCACATCGCGTTCGCCGGACAATCAAACACCACTCCCCGCGCATTCGAACAATCGCGATATTCGATCGTTAAGCTTTGATAAATATTCGTTCTCTCGTGTTGCGCGATATTGCGACCGTGAAATCGTATTAAGTCCGGCGTGGGGATTCGCGACGCGAGGGTGGACGCGTACGAGAGCGATCGTTTTGCAATCCCTATTGTGATAAACGCTCCTATCCTCTTCCGCGTTCATTTTGCACGGACTTTTAAATCGTTTGTCACCAGACACGCTCATCTACCTACGATCGGTCAGCATGCGTCGACCGTGTGCTCCATCCTGTAAAAATCACGGCTCGTCGTGTGATATCAGGATTCAATATTTGTGTCACGCGATGCGAGGGAAGTCGACTCGTTAAATAAATAACTTGCCGACAACGCCGCAACGTAAAACGAACGAGCGCTCATAACCGTTCATAGTTCTGCGTCCATAGTTCTGTCGCGTGATGGACTCTTCATGAGAATTATTATAAAATCATGGAGGAGCTGTTTCTTTGTGCGCATCGCCCCGGCCTTCCACTATTTTTATTTAAGACAGCTGTCGGATCGCGGTATAAGCGAGGAATAATGAGCTCACTGCTATATCTCACCCCGTGCGAACGCATGTAAATGCGGGCATAAACTCAATTGTCTACACCCACTGTATAACCTTCGCGGTCTGTTGACCGTCTTCGCAGTCGTTCCGACGAGAGTTTAGCGTATCGCGTTACCCTCGTTTTCATCAGCGCGATTAATGCGCTCAAACTCTTATACATGACTGACAGACCGCGCAGTTCTCGATCCTTGAAATCGATGCGAACGCATCGCGGTCGTTTCTCCGACCTTTCTGCACTCTCGGTTGTAAAACATCGTGTCTCGCGTATTAAAGTTTGATTTCCATTATCGGCAACTAAAAATATGATTTGCGATCTGATTTCTATTGCGACCTCGGGGACGTTCAATGGGAACTTTTCTTATCGTTGTGTCACGGCCGATCGAAGAGTTCGAAAATCGTACGATAAATGTCGCGCGACATGCATAACTTCCGTGCGATTAAACTAGCTTGACGATGAATTCTCTGTAAACTGACTATTATCCTCGTTTCGATTAATTTGCTCGATTTGTCACGCGGTGACGCCGACCAGGAAAAAATTGTTCGAAGCATTATTCGTACCATTCCATTTATCTCGAATTATTCGGGCTTCCCCGAACAATTTCAGCAGATGTTACCGAAATAATACGAATCGATCGTTTGCGATCGAAACACGTGGTGCAAGAGGTACGAGTCGCGTTTCGATAAAACTGAATCTCTCGATTTTATCGACGGTTTACCGGTTGCGAGAGAGAATCCAGCGATGAACGGCTTAACTGTCAGCTTCTCATTGTTCGGCCGCACCGATTAATGAAACGTAGCTCGACGGTATGAGCGATAAAGGGAAATAAAAAAGTAACGGCGAGGCGTTTATTGGCTATCATTGGACACCATTGGATGCATGCGAGTTTGCTCCCCCGATTACGAAAATGTTCCATTAGTCTCGGGCCGAACTTAATCAGATGTGTCGAATAATTATCAGCTGACATCTAATTATCGGTGTTCACCGATCGATACAATACGCCTTTCTATTTAATCGCATTGCGTTTGATTGTATTTTATTTATTTCATGCGCGCTATCGATCTTTTAAACCCCACATTGTCTTCGGATAAAGAATTGTAATTTTCGGAAAAAAGATATTGTTACTTACACTAAAAAAAAATGATTGAAATATTGAAAAGAGCAAATTGTGACTTCGATATTTATTGGCTATAAAAGAATTTGTGTTGACGGAATATATATTTCTATGAAATATATTTCACTTTTCTAATTAACTGTAAAATAGATGATTTATTTGCTAAGAATCAAATTTCGCCTTATTTAAATAAGGATTTATTTTAGTGGAATAAATATTAGGTATATCTCACAAAGTTTTAAGTATTTTTTTCAGTGCAGACAAATTGTTGTATTGTTAGTATATGCTATGCGTTGATATGATTATCTTACGTGAGTTATTATACCGTACGTCTTTTAATGCGCCAAACAATGTGGCGAAGAGAGATCGTTTATCTCAATTTGAGACGAAGAATGGAAAGCTATGTTCGATCTCGCGATATTTTAAGGGTCGAAGGCTCAACTCGTAATGATCTCGTTTCACCAGAGCGTGTCCTCGTTTCAGCAATCGGAATTAACCACGCGCGTTAATTATTACGACATTGACATCGTTCGATGTTTATCATAGCGATCGTGACTCGAACTGAATGGACGTGGTTTGACTCGTTGCAGGCGTAGCAGCATGGTATGGTATCAGTGACTGAGAATTCCCCCGAAATATGAAGAAGCATCCTTACATCCTCGCGTGCGTCCTACTCCTGCTGCCTCTGTCATTGGGCCTCAGTCTGCAAGAGGACGACCTGGTCTTCGATGACGTCGGTGAGGACAACGACAATGACAACGTGCCCGTTGGGTCCGTCCTGATAAATCATCATACGTCTCACGGCCGTTCCGATCGTTACGAGCACGGATCGTCGTCTCGTGATGGCAGGAGGCACGCCTCTCGGGTCGAAAGGGCATGGGGCGTGCCGGACTCCGTCGTCCCGGTCGGCCACATCTTCAGGATGAAAATACCGCGGCAAGCTTTTTCGGGAAGCGTGGATTTTTATGAGGTAAGTTCGGCTACGCGACTTATTCTTCGACCACGAACGTGACCGGAAGACCATCTCTCTACCCGTTCTGCACTACGGGTCCCTGATGAGAAAAATATTCGTCCTACGTTACTCGAATTTTAAATTAAATTAAATCTCGAAAGTGGGCTTCCGCAAAAAGATTCTCGTATCAATTCTGAAACTTTAAGACTTGGTTTTTCAATTTCTAGTTGTGATTTATTTAAACTTACTCAATTTGATGATAGTGTAACAATTGTATTTTTCTATATAGCTATGATTAATCATTAAACTAATGGTTTTATATAATAACTTCAAAAATTACTCACAAAATTATCAGTTTAATGATTAACCATGGAAAAACATAACTTTTACATTATTATCCAATTAAGTTTAATCACGAATTAATCAGAAAATTAAAAACCGGGCTTAAAAAAAAAGAAATTTAATGTTTGACTAGAGAATACGGCATTCTTTTAGTAGATGTTTAACGCTAATCGATTCTGTTAACGAATTACACGCGAACGTTTGTATCTCATTGAAAGATCTTTTTGTACGAGGAGTAGGAAAAAATCTTATTTAAGTACACCGTACTTGCATTCAGCGTTCGTCCGAGATAAAAGTCGCGTCGGATTTAGACTACTTGAGAACGTCCTTCTTTCGTATTTATCGAGCCTCGTAGCGCCGTCAAGTATCAGCGATGCCCGCCGCTGCTTGAACGCTATTGATTTGCTTGTCCTCACATCTGTCATTTTCTTCCCTCTCGAGTTCCTGCCGACTCGACATCTCTCGTTGAATCCATATTTGCGATTCAATTTACTCCCCGCCGTCTCCTGACAAATCTCATCACCGGAAATCCTTCTTAGGTTGAATGGCCCTAGTCTTCCCTTTGTCTTCGAAATTATTCGGGCAACGGGACACGTTCCTTCCATTCGTGCGAAGGCGATTCAAAAGTTTGCACGATACCCCGACGCAAAGACTGCACGAATAATTATCCTCTCGAGAGGAACAGCAGCGGGGGAATATGGTTTTCACACGTTAAAAACGCATTAACGCATTAGGTTCACGAGACCGTAGATCGTGATCGTTTGCCACAATGGATGCACTGGGACGACGCTGTCTCCACTCTCTTGGGCGTGCCGTTAAAGAAGGACATGGGCAATTATCACCTGAGCGTCACGGCTGTCGGCAAGCACCATGACACCGCCAAGGATCAATTCGTCGTGCAAGTTATATCCGAGAAGTTAGAGGAACTCAAGCATAAGGACGGTAAGGTAAGTTATATCGATAAACGTTAACTCAGCGTAACGAAAATACGAACAACGAAACCAGCGAGAGGATCGTTAGCTGTGAAAACGTATCGCTGGCATCGTTTCAAATTTCTTATCCAAGTCGAACAACAGGTCCCCGCTGTACGTGCCTTCCATTCACTAATGATTAATAGAACTTAAAGATAAAAAAGCGTGGACAAAGGGTGAACTTTTGGTGAACGTTGCACAGGTACGTTTAAATCGTCAGCGAAAAGCGTTTCTGCGCCGTTTGCGTGACGCTGATAAAGAGCAAAATAACGTTTGAAAAACTGTTCTGAATGAAGCATGAGTGAAAAGATATCTACTTTCCGGATGTTATATATTTTTCAACTCGTAATTTAGTCGCGATCGATAAAATCCGCGTTTGATGAATTTATAGTGGAACCTCAAACCATCGTGATATAAATCCGTCAGAACGGCGAGCACCCGTTGCAATCGCATCGCTGCGTTTAAATGTCGTAAAGACATTACTCCTCGCGGATTTTAACTGATTGACATCAATTGATGTTGCTGCGTGCATAACGCGTTGCCTCGTCCAGTTGTATATACCACGATTGGCGACCTCGATCTTTGAAATTTCGCATGTTGGTAGGCGTAAACGGAAAGTTGGCGACTGATGTGAAATAGTGCGATCCTAATTGCAGACACACTGCGATGACGGAGAGGACCAGACGATTCTCACAATTCTGCTGGATGCGCGGATGGACCAACTGTCGCCTACCGTTAGGGTGAATGCTATCGAAAACCTCGCCGGATTTCTGGGAATGCACACGGTATTGATTCTACTATTTGATATTAATCGTTTCTCGTTGCGTTCCTTTGAGACATAATTCGTACTTCAGAGATTGAAAGAAATCGTGCTTATTGTAAAAAAAAGTGATTAAAAAATTATTCAACTGGCTGTTCTATTGAATTTCCTTTGTCTATTAAGAAGCTATGATAAAATTTTTATTTTTACGTTCTTCAGAGCGCATTCTCGATGCATTCCCAAAGTATCAAGGATGCCACCGCACTGGATTCCTCCGTTATCTTTACCGGACCTGGGAACGTTAGGCATCACAAAAATAAAGAGAGTCATTTGACTACTATTCAGTGGCAGGTGAGATTCGAAATTAATTTTCTTAACGGTTATTTAATATTTGCAAGCATAACGATATTTAACTACGATATTTTACATAATTTTTTGTTATCAGTTTTTGCGATATCTCATTTTTTGAAATCTCGCCAATCAAGAGAAAAACCAGGTACATCTATGCGCGTTCGTAGGTTGGCTGCGACGGTCACTTATGGAAACATCAAACAGAGTTGGTGAAACAATTACGGGAGCAAGCGAAGGACGGTACTCTAGCAGAAGTTCTGCAGCTTCCTGTGATGTCGTGGCGCGTCAGGACGGATTTGAATTCCTTCCTGCGAAATAGACGAGAAGCTGGATCCGGCGATTACGGTGATTCGGACGATTACGGCGGTTACGATGACGACTACGATGGTGATTACGACGAGGAGAACGAGGAAGATGATAACGATGATAACTTCGGAGTACCGCCGACTTTCATACCAGACTTGAAACATCCACATCGACATCATCACGGCGAGGAGACGATCGATTGGAAGGTAAGTGTCATAGTAAGAGTAACTTGCCATAATCACGACCATACTGTTTTTAATGAAAATCGTATGAAATGTGCAATAAACGCAACGATCAAATATTTTTCATCGATATACGTTAATCATTTCAGAACGAAGACGCCGATGAACAAGAGATAATACCGAGAATGAGTCAAAGTGAATTGGATAATAAAACTACGACTACGGTAAGTGTCTTATGGAATCAAACACCACTGCGATTGATTCCCTTTGATCAACGTTTATATTCGAGATACCATGGCTCTACTACGGTTTGACATTAAGAAGATTCCTATTTCTGCACTCCTCATTCGCCATTTGCCATACCGCTTGCGGGGGAATCGTTGCGCTTTAAGAGTTTAGAATAGCTACTGGGTATTGTGTATTTTAACGCTGGCCTCTATTTCGTTTTCGCAAACTGTATACTCCGTGTCCGTCCATACGTGCGTTCAAAAGTATGCTGTACAGATTGCGTCGCGAATATCTCTTCGCAGACGAAAACCTGATACTTGGTTCTCTACTTGTACAACTTCTTGGTTGTACAACTTCTTCCCTTCAAAACGTAACTAACAACTCGTATTTCGTGCCATACATCGCATCTACTAACGATTTCGCAGACAAGAACCACTGAACTTACTACATCATCACCATCAACAACTACAACTACCTCCACCACCACGACGACAACTACAACCACCACCCAAGCCACGCCAACGATTGTAACTTCTACTAGTAGCACCACAACGACCGTCACATCAGTGACCGATATAACAGCAACAGCTAGTATCTCCACCGCTGTAGCCCCATCGATAGAATCTCCGCGATCGGAGACTACGGACGAGGAATCGTCGACGGAGAAAACGAAACCCGTGGAACCTGCCGAACCCGTTACCGTTTTACCAACCATTCCTTCGGATATTACTACGATTCCTCCTCCAGTAACCACTCTGCCGCCTTTTAGCACATCGGCCATCCAGACTAGTGTCTTCGACAAAATCGAGACGGAGATCGTCGGTATTACTAATGTTACGACGGAAGAGGTAATGCTTACGTGCTTTAGCGCTTCTCTCATTTGTATAATAGTTCACGCCGCCTATACACACCAACTTCCTCGCGCTGTAGTATCGGTTTGTCGCTTCGCTGAGACAAATTGTTATCGTCCTAATCAAAATAGTCTGTTTATACCCGTTATTAACGGCGTTCACCGTTATTAACGGCGCGTTAATAGCAGCTTAAATATTCTACCGTTATTACGCAAATTTCTCTCACATAGAATTACTACTCCACTTTTCTCAACGCAGTAATTCGTCATGCATTTTGATATGCAATCTTTTCTCGCCTAGTCGGAACAAACTACGATTTCCATGAAAGAACCGACTACTGTACCAACATTCATCGTCACGGACGTTAACATCACCACCACTCTTTCACCTGCAATCGCAACGAATGTTAGCACTTCTACTATTACACCTGTAGTCGCAACGAATGAGACAACTACGACTACGATGCCATCAACGTTGGATCTTCGCACAACGACGTCAAGCACAACACCGTCCACTACTAGCACTACCACAACTACGACCACGACTACTACCGCGGCACCTACAACCACAACAACGACGACAGCTCGGATTACCACAGAGAGTATCGAGTATGGCCAAGTCAACTTCCCACCGAGACGCGATAGGAGATTAAAGAAGATACCAGTGACTGCCGGTAAACCGTTGAGTTATGTCATTCCGGCCGACACCTTCACTGATTTGGAAGACGGCAACACGAGGAACCTGAAATTGAGTTTATACTGGCAAGGTATACCACTCAAGACAACAAACTGGCTTCAGTTTAACCATCATACCCAGGAAGTCTATGGATTGTAAGTTTATGTGACGTTTCTTATATTTATTTCTTCGACAAAGCAGAACAAGTTTTATTCTACAAATTCTCTATCAATAGGCCTCTCGAAAACGACATATCTACCTGGAATTATGAACTGGTTGCCATGGATAGAGAAGGTGCCAATGTTACTGATAGTCTCGATATACATGTTCAACAACATAAGCTGAGTCGTAGCGTCAATCACGAATTTAGCATTTACTTGAAAATCGATAAACGAATCGAATTTCCAACAGACGTTGATTGGGAACTCCAGGTGTGTATTAAATGTATATATGTATAATACGTATAAATAGTTATAACTTGTATCTTCTAAATTCCGATAACTATTTTTATTTTTTATTGATTTCTAATTGTCTTTCGATTATAGGTAATCCGAAGCTTGGCTGAACTTTACGGAGACAGTGACACCCAGCATATCACAGTTCGTTCCATCGATATTAATACTGATCGTGAGCAAGCCATTTTCATATGGACTAATGATAGTCTTCCAAGAAGTAGCGAGTGTCCGAGAGAACATATAAACAGATTATTGCGCGTAAGAATACACAATTGCTGTATCATCTCTTTTTTTTACAATAAATTACACAGATTTAAAAAATAATATGTATGTGTTATTAGGTACTTATCGACAGTGACGGAGATCCATCAGCTTCTCTAAAAGCAGTTCTCGCTCCAGAAATCAGGGTAAAGCGTGTCGTATTTCAAGGTATTGGACAATGCGAAGATATGAATCGTCCCGAGATACCAAAACTCTTTACCGAAGAGCCGAAAATGAATTTCCCGCCGGTACCTAGGAATCAAGTTGATCATGTTAATGCGACAGTTGGCCAGTTGCTCGTATTTAAAGTGCCAGAAGTATGTATTTTAATAATTCTTATCATTTTTATCAATGTCAACAATGTGGATAATTATGTATATTTTTCAAGGATACATTCTTTGATGCCGAGGATGGATCGTCACGAAACATGAAAATGTCACTTTTAACCATTGACCGAAGACCTATTCCACCTTACGAGTGGCTGCAGTTTGACAGCAAGAATCAAGAATTTTACGGTGTGCCAATGATTACCGACATTGGCCGTAAGGAATATCAGTTGGTTGTCGTTGATAAAGAAGGTAGAAGAATATTCTATTTTCTAAAATCGGAAACATGTTTATAACAATTGAATAATTAAAAATTAATATTTCCTAGGTGCAAGTGCCACGGACGGATTGGTCGTTGTCGTTCATTCAGCACCTCCCATGGCACATACGGTAGAATTCTCGATGACGTTAGATATTTCCTATGATTCTTTCGCGCATTCTGCACTTCAGAAGCGCAATTTTGTCGAGAAACTGCGTGATCTTTACGGGGACAGAGACACGAGCGCTATCTTGCTGCACAACATCTCAAACGGCAGTACCGTCATCACATGGCACAACAGAACTCTACCTACGTCATATTGTGCCCACGACGAAGTCAACAGGCTGCGATCCGTGCTTGTGAAGAGCGATAATGACCGACGCTCCGTAACAGACGAGGTGTTAGACGTGATGGGTCTGAAATTCCCGGTGAAGCAGATCACGGTGATTCCCATGGGAATCTGCCTTGGTGAATTAACGGGCGTTCACTCGCCAGATAGCCACGTGCCACCAGTGGACGATTCGACATCCGTTGGCGCGTTCCATGATGATTACCTTCTCACGTTTGTCCTGCCAGCGATTATTATCGCTGCTATGCTCATTCTAGCGGGAATAATCGCATGCGTGTTACACAAGCGAAGACGTAGTGGGAAGATGAGCGTCAGTGAACAAGATGACGAGCGGCAGAGTTTCCGGAACAAAGGAATTCCCGTGATTTTCCAGGACGAGCTGGAAGAGAAACCGGATCCTGGTAACAATTATTTATCAGTATATTAATGGAAATATATTAGCTTGGCAATATTAGCTTGGCAATATATCTGTCTCTCACTGACACTTGGCATGATTTCAGGCAATAAGTCACCCGTAATTCTGAAGGAAGAAAAGCCACCTCTTCCACCGCCCGAGTATCAGAAAACCGAGGACGGCGCCGATGTGCCGATGTTGCCTAAGGAGAACTCCGAGGAACCGTACCAACCGCCGCCGCCATTCGCCACGAATCGTGACACCAATCGACAAAATCGTCCCAAACCTACTCCGACGTACAGGAAACCACCCCCCTACGTGCCTCCCTAACAAAATACGGTACACTCGCCTACGCGAAAATATATGCTAGCAATGCTCGGAGACTCACCGATACACAAGCAAAACCAAATTAATTATAAAAAGCAATCTCGAATTGGCGACGACGACGATCGTGGGATTCTGAACGTTTATAGCGACGTTTAAACAAAAGCCCTTCTCCATTCACCCGGTATGAGACAATATACTGCTTTGCATAGCGTGAATGGAAGACTCTTCCGCGAGAACATTCTCCGAATTTGCGCGCGTTTTTACTTATTTTATATATGTATCAACAACGGCACATCTCACCATCGATTTAACGAAAAAAAGAAAAAATATTCCTTAGTCGATATTCGATCGACATACACTCTCTCAATCATCTATATTTCACGCGAAAGAAAAAGGAAAGATTTTCTAGGGAGTATGGGAATACAAATCACGTGTTGCCTTTCGTAAAGAATTCAATTGTAGGGAAGGATCCACTGCTCCGAACTTGATACGCGAATTTAGTTTAGATCGTTGTAGAACCGAGACAACGGTAGGGAATAAATGTACTTTATTCGACTGTGTAGATTCGAGACAGCAACGATACTCATAAATATTTCAATAATCAGTGCCATTTATTAAGCAATAAGGGTATCCGATTGTGAATAACAGTCGTACGTATAATTAATACGGTTCTACGGATTTATCGCAATTACTGTATACAGAGTCTCCAGGTATCAAGAACGACGGATTTAACGAAATAATTATATTACCTACAACGTATAACACTGCCAGAATGACAAATGCCTGGTGTGTCGCCAAGCGAGAAAGTTTCGAGATATATATGTATATACTTATATTTAATATATTATTTATCATATATTAAATATAATATATATTATGTATATTAGATATATATTTATATATAATATAATATTATATTAAATATAATATTATCTATTATATATATAATATCATATATTATATTTTCTTTTCTAATCCCTCCATTTAGGATTAATTCGTGGCGAGATAAATGAAACGGAATTAAATGTCACTCTTGTGAACGAATAAAACTAGCTTGCTTGGCGATCGCTATTAGTTAAGGAGAAAATATCAGAGAATTGAAACGTTTTTTGAGACATTTAAAGGAACGATTATGATACATGCAATGCCATTGCAAAGTGACAGCAAATGCTTCCATTGGCACAGTAGGCCATGCAGATAACTTATCTAAGATAAGAAAAAACTAATTATAGGTAATATATACAAATATAAATATATATATATAAATATGTATATTAATACCTATTTGCCGTTCGATAGACGTCAGTCTGCAGTTATTTACATGATGTAATTTAAATACTGCCAGACCAATCAAGTTGTTTAGTATTTACTTTTTGCTACGAAGGAGATCCACTGTTTGTTTCACGCACAATCCGACGCTTTGCAATTTTTATGACTTAACAGCCGTAATATTTTATTTTATTTCTCAGATCCGCGAATTATTCACGAATGCGTACGAGTGAGTTGGCATCGAAGGCTTAACTCAGGATGAAAATAAAAATAAAAAAAACGTGATGCGGACGTTACACAGCGACGGGACTATTTAATTTAGATTTTTACATAGTTACCAAGCCAAAAAATAATTACTATTTAAAAAAGAGCGGAAGAGGTAAAGTAATAAGGACGTATATTTGTAACTGCGAAAAAGAACACTAAGAAACATGGCTCGCACTCTTTAGGGCGCATTTCTTTACAATGATTTTTGTAATTTTTTAATTGTCGTGTTGCGAGACGCACACATGACACACAAACACACACATACATAAACGTGCACGTACTCATTTTATTCAGTGCGGCGAAAGAGTGCGAGATATGGTACGGGTACGTACGCAATCGTTTCTTTGATACCTCGATAGTTTCCTGATATTTTTGAAAAGGAAATACGAGAAACGAGTTTAAAAAAAGAAATTTCATATGCGTTCCGAATTTTCGAAGAGCTCTACACGCCGTTCATCGTCGGAACGACGTGCGGAGCGACGAGTTCACGGACGCGCCTATATATTGGTGTGAATGCTGACGATTAATACGTATGTAAGATAATAACGAGGATGTTTCGTATGTGCAAGTTATCACGATATAATATTACGACTAATTAATCGTGTCTTTGTATAACGTAGAGGATTTTAAGTGCATGGCAAGGGAAGCCACGCGATTCACGCGAGGATTCTTCATTTTCCTTCGCGAATGTATCAAAACTGATCAGATTTATCTATGCAATTCTTGGAGAAACGCGCTTTTTCGCTTGTATAACTAAACGCATAGTCTTGACCGTCTTGTGCTTTGTGCTCGCGAAGGACAAAGAAGGATCCACCGCAGTCGCGTGTCTAAAGACTTTCCTTCGCGGATATACCCTCTTCATCGCTCTCGTCTTGTTTATCGCAGAATCTTATGGAAGAGATAGGAGAGATTGCGATTGTCGCCCGTACGCGATTGCTTTCGTATCGTGAACTAATATGTGTAAGTATGTTTTCTTATTATTTTTATAATGTACGAATAAAGATCTTCTGTGTTAAATTATACGCTAACACTTGAATGCAACGCAATCCACTTGCTGTCGAGAGGTGGGATTATCTTTAGGATTGTGATGTACCTTTGTGCGCGATCCTCGTTGGAAAGATAAATATAAATCTGCGCGCGTGGAGAGGATGTTAAAAAAAACCATCATATCATAAACAACGTCCATATATCAGATCTTTGCTAAATCAAAATTTGCATTTCGTTACGGACACGCTGGAGTCCTATTTATCATTTCAGGCGAGATCCCCACAAAGTAATAATGCAACTAACGGCGGAAAAGTAACGTAGCGGTATTTGAAAGTGAATGGATATGGTAAATCAAGAGTTTGCGATGCGTCATAAACGGAAGGGGCATTCGTTTATGATCTGCGGTAAACAAGCACAAGTCCACATCACGCTTCTAATCATATCATCGCTCTGGTCGTTGCGTATCCCCTAAGCGCTGCAACTTGCGTTACTGTGAAAATGATGGTAATGTATAAAAATAAGCATGTACGATATTTATAAGATAGAGACGACATGTGGGTGAACTCTCCTAGGAGAGTTGAAGAAAGGGAAACTTCACAAATATAGCATACTTGCTTGCGGCGACTTTTCTGGCCTGTGTGAGAATGGATCGAAAGTATTTTATAACTATGTGTATAAAAGAGGGGACGGCAAATTGCTATTTACGACTGTAACTTTCGGCCGCTTTCTGAAAAAAAAATCGGGCTAACGTGGGACGGGCACGACGTGAAAAAGTTCCATTACATTACATTAAAGAGAAAAGAAAAGAACTATTTCGCTTATACGAACGTGTTGTATACATAGCTATATACGTATACACGCATTTATGTTATTTCGTTTCGAATTATGCTTTATACTGATCTGCAATTTATGCGAATTTAATCCTCTTGTTTAAAGAGAGAGAGAGAAAAATATCTATATGAAGATATTTTAAAGCGTCGCTCGAAATGAAATAGCGTAATTGTACATTATATACATAATATACACCTAAAAATATCATATCGACAGGAATTTTCAGATTTTTTTATTCGCTGCGAAAACTTTCGATATATATATATATATATATATCAGAAAATATTTGCGTTGATATATTCGCGAAATGCGAGGCCGGAACATCTTTCGTACGAACGAGTTTCTTCGTTGAATAACAAAGCCATCGATTTATCTTCTAAGTTTCTCGCTAAGTGACATATCTCGAGGGAGAGGAAATGGAAGAACCAAAATCCACGAAGATACAAAGTATCAAACCGAGCTTGCACCCCGAGATGGATCGCGTGCGATTATCTTGGGACCATGTAATGGTACGCTCGTCGGATAATCAATGGGAAAAGTTATGAATTAATGATATACATATACAGATATCTCTCCGAGACTAGTATACTGACAAAGAAACACGTGTAAAGTTAAGAGTTAATAAAACCATTTTAGGATACTGCATGATTCGTCTTTGCGCTCACTCTTTAAGGAGTGAGTGAGTCGTGATTGGAGATGTTATCTCCGAGAATCCCACAACAACCAGACAATTATAGTCACGCGACATTAATCTTGCTACTTAATCGCATTTAATGATTTTAATTAATTTTCGACTTTAATATACATATATATTCAAATTTTCTATTATATATGTAATTTTCAGAGTTGGGTAAGTTAATGTTTTTTTTTAACTGAATAAAGTTAAAGTTAATAGCTTTACAAAATTAATAAAGTTAAGTTAAAAGTTGAAGGAATAAAAAATTAACTTAACGAAAGTTAAGTTAATATTGAATTAACTTAAGTTAAAAAAAAGTTAGTTTCGAAAAAAATTATTTTTGAGGTCAAAATGTCCTAATTTTTCTTAAAATGAAATTAAATAATAATAACTACAACATATATTATTAAGTAAATTAAATTTTTAATTTTTTTTATTCACGTATGATATAACATAACTTTTTAGATTTTTACTTTTTAATAAGCCTTAAGCCATAAAAAATGGACCAATTACAGTCAAATATTCTCCTCGCATTCGACTGTAATTGGTGAATTTCTTATGACTTAAGGCTTAAAACACCTATTATAGATCCGGACAAAGGCTTATGGCATAAGGCATGAGCTAATCAGAGGACTGTATTAGCATCTTAAAAAATTACTTAAGATGGTCTTAAAATATGAACGGATTACGAATATACGCCCTTAGTCTTATTATATTTTATTATTTTTCTAAGGCATTTAAAAGCATAAAAAAATTTTTAACTTAAAAAAAAGTTAAAAAGTTAACGTTTAGAAATAACTTAATTAAGTTAAAATTTAATGCATTTAAAATTAACTAAGTTAAATTAAAAGTTATTAACTTTTTAACTTTTTTTGTTAACTTTTAACGTTTTAACTAATTACTACCCAACACTGATAATTTTTGATATTTCCGTATAATTATTATACAATATATACGATCATATATGATATATGATTATCACATAAAAAAGGATTAGATTAAGTTCAAACTAAATTATAAGTTACAATAAATTACAATAAATTATAAGTTACAATAAATTACATTTTAAATGCTTGAAATTTAAATTTAGCGCTTGAAAAATACCTTTTTTACAGCTTTCGTAAAGACCGAGATGATTAAGAGGAATCCATGCATAAAAGTGACTCGGTATCTTGTAGATTAGATTGCAAAAATGCATATTAAACGTGATGTAATTTAAATTTCCATGATTATATAAGATTTTCAAGACAGCGACATGATACGATTCTCTATTCGTCCCACGCGTTAATATTTCGCGTTGACATGCAGAAGTTAGCTAGTTTAGAAGTGTGTACTTATTTCTTCGTATGCTGACTTGCATCATACGAAAAAATAAGTACACTTCACACTAATTATTTTAAAGATAAAATTTCGTCTTGCCACAGAAGAACGACGAGGAAGCTTAAACGGCTTTCCGAGAATTCTGTCGGATATAATGGAGTAAATAACCTGATATACAAGTTCAAAGATGAATAACAATTAGAACGTATTATCGTTTCAGTGTTTACGTTCTTATCTTTCGCGTATTATAAATCACGATATCTTACACATCTTTATATATATAATATATTATATATATTATGTATATAAATATATAAATGTGTAATATATTCTAAATTTCGACAAAAAAATTAGAAATATTGCAAGTTGTGAAATCGAATCTTTTAACCGTTGTTTATTGTTTTGTTATTTTATTACATGTTTCTCATGTATTTAAAATTGAGTTTTACAACAATGTT